CCCCCCCATCCCTACATACGCTTCACATTTTTCTTTGCCTTAACTTTGGAGGGGAGCATTTCAGTCCTCTATTTTACAGATAGAGGAACCGAAACCGCTAAGGAGCCCTGGTGGCCCTGTTGGGTATGAGCTGCTGACAGAAAGGTCCGGGGTTCAAACCTACCAGCGGCTCTGCTGGAGCAAGATGAGGCTGTCTGCTCCCATCAAGATTTACAGCCTCGGAAACCCTACTTAGCATCACTATGAGTTGGAATCACTGGAAGGTAGTGGGTTTTATTTTGTATGTGTGTTCCCTTCTTGAGGGAAGGTGCTAGTGGACCGTGGTTAGTGAGGTCAAGCGGTAGGGAGGACTGGGCTGGGAGTCCCAGTCTATGGCTCAGGGATCTCTAAGGAAATTGGGAACAGGGGAGTGGGTATTCCCTGTAACCCACCAGGAAGGGGCTGCCCCAGGAATAGAACAACCTAGCCGAGAGAGGACCTGCCAAGAAATCTCCTGGCAGGACCTTAGAGGGCAGGAGGGAGCATGGTTTTGGGAACCCAGACAGGTTGCCAGAATTTTGTAACTTCAATCTTCACTTCGGCCAAAATGGTCTGTTATATCGCACACTGATTAATGCAAGAAGACTCTTGAACTCGTGGCCGTCTGCTCCAGTTGAAGCAAAGCTAGTTCTTTTTAAGCTCAGGAGGTTCCTTGGGGGCCTGAAGACTTGCTGGGTCCAGGTTCTGGCCATCTTTTCTCCAGAGGAATTGGGCTCACACGCCACCCCCTACCCCAGGGGTACTTTGCGCCTTCCGGGGTGGTGGTGGGAGGGGAAGAAAAACAGAGAGCCAGCTAGGTTCCATACTGCACAGGCTACCTGAGTTGAGTGAACAGAGAGAACCCTGGGGCACTGGGGTAGCTGAGTTCAGGAAGCCACGAATTTGAGGGCAAGAGGGAGGAGGCAGGCTTCTTATTGGGCCAGGGTCGAAATGGAGGACAAGGGAAGGTTCTTGGAAGCAGTCAAACCTTGTAGAAACAGGATAAATGGACAAGGACGGCATTCCAAGAGGCCAGAACCAATGAACTTTGGTTAGAGTACAAAACCATGTCGATCGATGCGCTCTAACCTCATCGTTTCAGGTCTGATTCCACTCGCTGCTTTCCCACTGATCGGCGTTGGACCCGTCGAGCCTACAGGCTTTTCATCTTCTCAGGTCCCCGCCCACTAGGTGAGTGGCTCGGAAGGAAGTGGGCGGGCCCTCTCCTAGTAACTCATAATCGATTGGTTTTTAGAACTTCCTGCTTTCTCAGACTCGCTTCTGGATTGGCTGTAAGACTTCCATCTCCTCTCCTCAGACCTGCGTAATACAGAGCGAGAGAAGGGAGGGGGGGCGGACAAGATGGCGGCGGCTGGGGCCGGTGTGGGTCGGCTAGAAGAAGAGGCTTTGCGGCGAAAGGAACGGCTGAAAGCCCTACGGGAGAAAACTGGGCGCAAGGTGAGAAGTGGGGAGTGGGGACTGTGGTGGGGTTAGTTTCTATGGGGGCCTGGAACGCGCGGGAGAACAGTGGACGGTAAGTGCAAGGCAAATGCCAAGCGTGCGCGAGGGAGTAGCGCATGCGCGCCGAGCCGGCACCCGCCCACCAAACCTAGGGGAGGCAGGCGCTTGGCTCTTCCACTGCTAATGCGGCTGTGGCGCTCGCGCTGGGGCTTGAGGGGGGCCGATGGTGGTGGTTGTGGTCGACAAGTCCCTGTTCCCGGAGACCGTTCGCTTATGCTCATGCCTAGCATTGCTAACTGCAAGGCCGGTGGTTCAAACCCACCAGCTACTTCGCGGGAGAAAGATGCGGCTGCCTGGTTCCGTAAAGAGTTAACAGCCCCCACAACCCGCTATACTGTGTCGGCTGGAATCGCTAGGAGTCGGAGTCGACTCGATGGCAGTGAATTTGGTTTCCGTAGTGCTGCACAGGTGTATAGCTGGCTCTGCTTTTAGTCTCGGGTGCTCGTTCAATTGTTCGACGTGACCTGTTCCAGCCCGAGTGCCTCGAATCTTCCGTTTCCCCGAGGCCCGACAGGCCGGCCTCCCACCCTCCAATCTCGATTCTCAGGGTTTGCCCCCGCTCTCCACGGCGCACTTTGGTTGGGGGTGTAACAGGTCCCCAGGACGCGCAGATGGAGTCGTTGAGTGTAGACACCTGAAGGACCTCTGTGTGTGGCACACTGGGAAACCAAGAGGAGGGTACCTCGCTCTTCCCCAGCCCCTCCCTTGGGGATAAGCCTCCTAGTCCTAGTAGTTGCCTAACCCGGAAGCATTTTTTCTTGCTCTGGTGTCACCCCCAAATAGCCTGATTTCATTTGAACTTTGTTCATTTTTTTCCGAAGTCCCTGAGGAGATCTTGAAGTCTCCTCCCCAGGGGTAGCAGACCTCGTCCTGGTCTCTTGGGGGCAGTAGATTTGGGCAAGGCAGATTCTTCATCCCCTTGGGCCCTGTTTTTCCCATGACTCCTGGGACGGGGTGGGGCTGGTAACAACCCTTACACTTTCCTTTACACTGGATTATTTTGAGACCTAACAGGATAATCTGTGTGAAAGGACTGTAGAGAGGAGGGCGGCGGACCCAGTGAGAGTTTGGCTCTGCTGCCGCTGAGTGGGTGGGTGGAAACTGAGTTTTGAATTTGACAAGTACAGAGTACTAAATATATGCAGGGAGTGGGGGTGCTCGACTTTTCAACTTGAAAAACTAGGGTGATGAACCTGATCCCTACATTTTTTCCTACTTGGCTCTCCCCTGTCCTTGTGGGGGACTTCATACTGAGCACTAGAGGAAGTACTAGTTGAAAGCTGGCCACATTGGCTTTTGCTTTCATAGGCAGCAGTCTGCCTTCTCAGTTCTCCCTCCCAAACTGGTCCCTGGGAGCTCAACCTCAGCCTTACAAACAGTGGCTGCTCCACTCCCGATGATGTTCTCACTGGGAGTCAGGGCCCAGAAGATTGGGTCTGGGTTTGTATTGGAAAAACTAGAAGCAAGATAGTATCTTGAAAGGCCCACTGCCTGCCTTGAGAAGGTGAGAAGCATTCCCCGGGGCTATCAGGCGACTTGGCCTTTAAAGGGAGTCTCTCAATGGGATGAAAATAGGGCCTAGCTGTTCTTTTAATCGTGGAAGATCAGCACAGTTTAGGCTTCAGAAAGCTCTTGTCTGAGAACTGGTGTCTGAAATATGTGCCTTCAGAAATCACAAGCTTCTTGGAATTGAGAGCTCACTGGCAGGGGAGTTTCCTCGCCTCCTCTTTAGAAACAGGTGGTGTCCTGAAGCTCCCCCCCCCCTGGCATCAGCTCCTCATTTTCCCCCTCCCTCCCCTCCCCCCTCTCTCTCCCCCCCCCCCTTTTTTTTTTTATTCCATTAGAAGCATTTTCCTTTTCCTGGCATGCCTCTTATCCAGGAGCTCCTGATTTTTCCACTCTACCTAGCCCCTTTCCTAGCTAAAAAGAGGAAGTTAGAATTTTGGGTAACCCTGGTGGCCCAGTGGTTAAAGTGCTCAGCTGCTAATCCAGAGATTGGCGGTTCGAACCCATCATGCACTCTGTAGGAAACGATATGACAGTCTGTTTCTGAGTAAAGATGGATGGCTTCCGAAACACTTTGGCGCCATTTTAAAGTGCCACGGACTGCCAAAAGATCAGTCTGTCTTGGAAGAAGGGCAGCTAGAGTGCTCCCGAGGAGCGTGGATGGTGAGACTTATTTTGGACATGTTATCAGGAGAGACCAGTCCCTGGAAAAGGTCCCGTGCTTGGTAAAAGTAGAGGGTCAGTGAAAAAGAGGAAGCGCTTCCGTGAGATGGATTGGCACAGAGGCTGCCCGCACCAGTAGGCACAACGTAACAGCAATCAGGAGGATGGTACAGGAGTGAGCGCCGTGACACAGGGTTGCTCTGGGTCGGAACTCAGATCACTGGCAGTGGATTTGTTTTCCTTTTCCCTGCTTGTTTCCAGTGTGTAGCGCCCATGGTGAATGAGTGCAGGTGGTGAAGTGGCATGTGCTTTGATTTGAGACAGAGTTTTGAAGCTGGGTTTTCAGACTGAGCACCCAGTATAGCTACGACTCAAGCCCTGGAGCTACAATAGCAAGCTTCTTCCTCAGGCAGCTTCCTTTTAGCTGCAGCGATGGAGTCAAGCAAAATACTGTATACTCAGGGGTCGATAGAGACAGTGCTGGAAGGAAAGGAAGGTGGGGAGTACACAATGCGCCTGCTTGTCTCTGTTGCTCTAAGGATTTAATATTCTCTACTATAGACAGTGGCGTTTTCAAATTTAACTTGGTAAACAATACCATCTGCTTGGTTTCTCACACCTGGTTGTGATGACAATCTTGAAAAGAAGGAAGAATGAGAGGGATTTGTTATATAGTTTTATAGGTGGAAGCACCAAAGCCAGTAAACATTGGGTGGCTTTGCCCAGGGTCACATGGCTAGAAGGCGTCCCTGTCTTAAGGTTATAGGGACCTTGAGAACAGATGGTGGCTTTGTGTACTGACCTGGAGTGGTACCTCATGCAGGGTGGGAGCCGGGCAGGAAGCACTTTATACCTACTGTTTTATATCCGGTGTGCTTTTTGATATCTATTGGGTTTTGTGCATGTTACGGGTTGGATTGTGTCTCCCTCCCCAAACATGTATGGTAAATCCTAGCCCCAGTATTTGTGATGATAATCTCATGTAGAAAAGGTTTTTCTGGGTTATGCTGTTAAGACAGTTTTTGAATCTAGTATGTCCTGAGTCAGGGTCTTCAAAGATAGAAAGGGAGCAGACTAAGCAGGGAACTGAGCCTGAGTCTCTGAAGGGCAAGGATGGACGCCAAGCTACCCAGTCAGTGAGGAACAGAAGCTCAGAAGAGACTTGGGCTTTCCTTCAGAGTCTGCACCTAGAGCCAGAGCCCAGAATTCACACTTCTAGCCTCGGAAACTATGAGAAACTTGATTTATGTTTGTTAAAGCCACCCATCTGGGTTGTTTCAGTTATAGTAGCCTCCAGTAACTAAGACAGTGGGTTACCTGCTCAAGAAATTGTAGTGGGAAAAAGACCATGAAGCTGAGGCCAAGCCGCTCATATACACACCTTACTGCCCTTGTGTCCAGATGCTGACTCTCATTCCCATTGGCGAGATGTTCATGCCAACTATGTACCCCCGAGGCACCTAATTTTACCACAAAAACTGCATTAAAAATGTGCCGGAAAGCTCAGCTTATCTGCGAGTATATACGGAATTGTAAATCCTTATTTACAATATGGGTGACTCCACACCTTGATCATCCTGCTGCTTCGTGAGAGCAAGGGCCTTGTAGACTTTTCTGGAGCTGTGACAGCTAAGCCAAGAAGGCCGGGCTAAAAGTGTACACCCTCGCCGGGCCCTTTGTTCCCCTAGTGACGCAAGTCTGCCTTTGAACGCACTTCAGTTACACTTTTAGTGAAGTCTCTCACATTGGGGGAGTGGTGGCCCTTACACAGGCTGTCCTCATGTGTCACCTGGGTGTAGTTTCATCCTCTCCAGCTCTTCACTGGCCCGCTTACTGGGGTCAAGGGTTGGGGAGAGGGAGTCAAGAGTCTAAATTCTGAGCTCCATCCGCAGCCCACAGCCCTTTCTGGCAGGACCTTTAAGAGGAGAGGAAGCATTGGCTGCCTGCTGTTGGCAGATAAGCTCTGAGGAGTCTCCTCTCAGGAAGTTGTTCCTCAATTTTAGGTCAGGCCCTTGTGGTCAGCAACTGGGCACCCGTAACCCTGGCTGCAGGGCCAAGCATGATCTCAGCCGGAACCTGCCAATGGGTACCTGCCTGCCTTTCAGGGGTGGCTCCTGGCTGGTCTCCTGGCCAGCTGTGGCAACGCCATCCTGGAGGACCCTTGTGTAGGTGGCTTTGCCAGAGGTGTCAGGATTCTGAGCCTGGGCCTGATCCCCTCACTAGCCGCTCTCCATCCCCTCCCCACTAGGGCGTAGACTCTCAATTTAAAGAGATCGTGGAAGAGCCCCTTCTGAGATTGTGGCAGATGAAGGGATTCCGGATTCGTGTTTCTGCATCGTTTTCATTGTGGAGCTAACTACAAGGCGAGGGCTACAGAGGAGCTGTGCCATCCAGGGTTGTGGAGTTCGTCAGTGAAGGCTGCCCTGATTCCAGCTCGTGCCAGGCCTGGGGGGAGGTTGCACCTGGTAGAGTGGCAGCAGCTTGAGGTCAGCAGGGCCAGGTTAACAGGTGAGGAAGAGACCACAGGACTAGACTGTACCCCTGGGGTTCCTTTCTTGAGACATCCAGGCTGAGGCAGGGAAAACTGTTCAAGAAGACAGAAGGGGGCCTGACCTGAGCTGTGACTGGAGGAAGCGGGTTGAGGAGGCGGGAAAGGACCGGGGACTGTTGGGAGATGGGAGCATCCAGGGCCCTGGAGACTTCAGAGGTTTGGAGGTGCACACTTGGCAGTGGTAGGGCCAGGGGGCCGGCTGACAGCTGAGCTGGGC